GGATCAAAACTTTAAGAATATGGGGTGCGCGATAGACTTGCCTCTACGTGGTGCACCCTGGGCAACGTATACTCATACGGAAAAAAAGTCTATTAACCGGCAGTTGACTTCTCACTTCCAACTACCATGACCCCACTCTATGTCATATTCGATTCCTTTCACAGTACTCACCTCACATTTCCTCTGCCTTTGTGTCTGCCCCTTTTGCATCTTTGAAACACACTTCTATTCCCCCCCCCCCACTCTCGACTTTTTCACTTTGATGTTTCTTCCCCTCTGTGAAGCCTGAAGTCAACTAAAGGGCTAATGATAACCATCAAGACGCCTGCCATTTGATATAAATAAATAAATAAAACTAGTTAGTCGGCTTTGGTTAAATCAAATTTTCCAAATGCCTTCTTAATCCTTCTAGATTTAAATTAAATAATAATAATAATAGTACTTCAATACTTGAGCTTAATTAATGACACTACTGTCTTGACATTATGTTTGAAAGTTATGTAAATTTATTTTTTTGTTAACTACAACCATATGAGCCTAAGTGCACATTATTTAAACTGCTGTGGAGTTTTATGGCCGACTTTGAAATTTGTTCCCTCTTAAAATAAGAATATAGTGTTAAATATACTATTTAAAGAATGGACAAAACGCAATCGAAACGATTAAATGTCATTGTCTTGAAATTTCTTGCCGGAATTTTGATTATTATTATTATTATTATTATTAATTCTATTTCATTTCAAATCTATATAGCACTATTTTACCTTATTGATTACTGGAAAAAAAGACCATTAGATTATTAAACTGGTAATAAAACCTACACATTGACCTTTAAAAGATAGAGAATAGTGAGAATAAAATCAAAGAGCTTTACTTTTTAACTCAATCTATCATTAAGTGCTCACGTGTTCTCGTTCATTCGGATATGGATTTTCCACAACTGTGCGTAATAAATAGTGACAAATAAAGTAGATTGAATGCAAATGAGACACATATATAGGGGGCCGAAAGTTGCCAAGAGCCCAATTTTTTAAATTTAAACAGGAAAACTTGAAACTAAAGCTTAATAAAATCATGATTTAGCATAATTACTGGGACCCCTACATAGCTACAGGAGTTATGTGTTATTACAAGGTTCGATTTTCAAGCTCTCCTTAACAAATGTCTATTTGGAAGACATGTATACCAAGTTCACAATTCGAATGCACTAAGAATAAGTGAAATCTTAAAATTTAGTATATTCATCGCTTCGCCAACCACAGATATGATAATGCACCTGCCTGTCAATCATGAATGACCGCGGAGTTCGAATTCGCGATATTCGATACTCTTGGGCTCCCCCCCCCCCCTCCTCCCTCTCATACACAAATATGTTTTATTCAAAATCTTAATATCAACCGGTAGGTAGTTAATGCAGTCGAAGGAACGGTGAAATGCGAAATAAGCGGAAACACATATCAATAGTTTACAAGTAATATATAGAATAAAAGTGAACCGGCGAAGACAGTGATAACAAACGCACATGGAGGAAATGTCACTGATAATTGAAATACCGATTTTTGACCTATTCGTTATCAGACAGGACTGATACGCGAGGCCATTTTGTGCAATCTCGTTGAAGCAAAGAAAGAAAAGCTATGCTTGTCTCATCGGTTTTACTTTTGGCTTTAAAAAAGAAACAAATAATTTGATTCGACACGACAAACTAAGGAGATTCAGTGGATTCATCGACAAGCTCTGAATCCATTCATGCAAATTGAACATCAGTACTTCCGCAAAGTAAGGCTTTTCATGCCAGCATTTCATTACACATAAGAAATAATTGTTATTGGAAATACAGATAAGACTGACAAGGATTCGTGTCTCAGAAAAAAAGGTAACTTGATTTCATTCAAGAATCAAACCAAGTAATTATATTTATGAAATTCATTAATAATATTACATAATCTTAATATTACGCAAGGTATTGGAAAGTTTGAAGCTTATATATCTCACCAACAGGAGTAATTCTAACGTATGTGTAAATAGATATATAAAACGCGGACCAGATAGTATCCTTAAAAATAAAGAAATTGTTGAAGAGAGTTTAAAAACAGAATGGTTAAAGAAGATTCTAAATTCAATGAAATATATTATCAATAATAACTTAAAATCCAAAACAAGTAGGTTTACGACCGGCTAAAAAGTGTATGCTTTATTATTGGATAAAAGATTAGAATTTATAAACAATTAAGATTCCTTTCTCCATTTTAAAACAACTATTCCTATTTGCTTCGAAAATGAGTTTTGCAAATAAACATAAAATTTTGCCAGGAAAAGAAAATATAAAAACCCGTGAGATAAAAGAGCAGGATAGTTCAAAGTTTAGAAACAGACAAATTTAATATCCTAACCTGAGATAGTAGTTCAAGAAAGACGTCTTCAACTCCGATATTATCTCTAGCTGAGGTTTCAATGTGGGGGCAGAGCCATTCATTTGCAAGATTAATGGGTTCTCGTAGAATGCAGGATTTATCATCTGCTTCAGATACGAGGTCTGCTTTAGTTCCAACCAGGACAAGGGGCACAAATCCATTTGAAGGCAAACCTTTAACTCGTAGTATTGTTTCGCGCATATTTCGAATATCATTAAAACTTTGCTTGCTGGCTAAATTATACACAATAAGAAATCCGTCACCGTTTTTTATATACAAGTCGTGAAGTGATGAGAACTGGGATGTACCGGCAGTGTCAAGAATTTTGAGAGTTTTAGGAAGTCCAGCAAAACTGTAATATTAATTTATATTGACCATGAATAACAAAGATAGTAAACCTGCTGAATTGTAATTATGAAATTACCTGACTTCCTTTTGATAAAAATCTTCTATTGTGGGATCATACTTGTCGACAAATTTTCCGCAGACGTATTTAACAACCAAAGCACTCTTGCCAACACCACCGCTACCAAGAACTACAACGGTAAATTTCCTCGAAGGTCCCATATAATATTTTGGAGGAACATTAATGACAGATTTATTCAGAAACAGATTATAAAATGTTGTTTATACAAACGCCAAGGTCATTATTTAACGAAAAGGGCATTCAATGTATTATAAATTTTATTCTACGATATTAAAATTATTTAGCTAATTTATTATTTACTAAATTTATAATAATTTAATCGTTAGTTTTGGTATAATCATTAATTTTTATGTTTTAGGTCACTTTGGATTATATAAAATATAATTATTGAAATAATTAGAATGATCCTGAACTAATTTTTCGCAGAAGAGATGTTCAAGTGTGTTTTATCCTCTATTAGAGACAAATCATTTAATAAAATATCCATAAAAAGTCGAAATATATGTTTTTTAGTAATGGACTACTCTTTGTAGCTTTCCTATTATTTAACAATGTTTCACTCAGTTCCACTTAAAAATAAAAAACAAAGAAATAACTTTGATGAATTTATAGTTGTAGCACATGGTCGTTCGTATATTATAAGTGTAATTTATTAAAATGCTTACATCGATCTCCAAATAAAGCCCACCTAATATCAATTACTTCTAATCATGATGAGTTTCACGTTTGTAATAATATTTGATTTTCATAAATATCTTACCACCTGTCAAACAACTGTTTGGATTTACTTAGTTATCTTAGTGATTATTTTTAAACCATATAAGATCTTACATTTCAAAGGTAGGGATTACAAAAATTAGTCCTAAGTAGACTACCGTTTTATTTTCTTCGCGAGTCATATGTTTTGACCCTATCCCCCCACAAGCAAACTCATGATTTTTCTATATTAACTCAAGAACCAACTTTTACACTAAATTCTGCTCTTTTCCAACTTCACTCCTGCATTATAACTGATCATATATATAAAAGAGTCTTCTTTAGCATAATTTATTTCTTCCGTAATCAGGCTTTATTCATTGACATTGATTTTTATTAGTTATTTTATTTTTAAAAAACCATTAATATGACTATGAGCATAAAGAGGAAAGCTGAGTTGAATTTCATACTCATTTATATATTTTAATTGGCAGGCTTTATGACGGTTATCATTAGCCATTTTTGAATTCGGGCTTCACAGGGGGGGGGGCATCAAAGTGCGAAAAACTCGAGAGGGGATGCGAAGAGTGATTAACAAATGTAAAAGAGATAGACATAAAAGCAGAGAAACTATAACATGAGTAGTGTGGAAGTGGTGGAATTTGACATACAGTAGGGTGATGGCAGTTTGGAGTCAGAAGCCAACTTCCGGTTAATAGACTTTTTTTGTCGTATGAATATACGTTGTCCAGGATGCACCACATGGTGGTAAGTCCATCGCTCACCCCTTTTCGAACTCATAATATTTGTAATTTTCGCCTCTTCTCGAAACAGTCTATTTTTGTTTTGAATCATTTTTTATATCTACATACGTGTGAATGGATTTATTTGATTACAGGCTAAAAAAAGGAAGCATTGTATGATATGAAGTACTTTGAAATTGTATTTTAAAATAAAAATGCCATTTGTGTATCCTGTTCTCATCACAATGTTTTTCTTGTTGTTCTGCTCCATTATGACTCCTGATGATTTTAAATTCTTTCCTACGATTTCTCACGATAATGCCGAAAAGTATTTTTCACCAGATTTTCCATCTTCGCTTATGAATCACGTATAACCAATAAGTACACTTCTGGCCAGAATTTTTGTACACTTGGATATATATATATCTTAAATTTGGTCTATTATTTTTATCATTCTGATTGAAGAAACTTTCGCTAAAGTGAGATATCGGAAACACAAAATGTTTTATTTTCAGAAGTTCTTTTTTCAACGAAATTGAATGCAGTCAGCCAGGGCTATTAAAAAGGGCTCTATCTACTCATTGTTAACCTTACTCACAAAAGACTTACGATGGATATTAAAGTCAATTGAAGCTATTAGGCTCGCAGGTGCGTGGTCTATTTCAAGCTCTAATATCTTTCGTTTGTATCAATATATACGAGTAAAATTTGCGACCTATTTTCAAGAATTGATAATGGGCTTTTGCACTTATTGCATTGTTCGTTAAGGTGTTTTCTAACTTACGACGGTTGGAAATAGTCCTGATGTGAGGTCAAATAGGTCTACCGCAGTCTCATCTTTGGGGTGAAGTGTATATATATACGTATGTGTGTGAGAATAGCGAATATCAGCTTAATGCTTGGCCCAGTTTTCTGGGACATGTTGAGCTACATATTGAGCCCTCCTCTCCCAGCAGAATGGTTCCGATAACCCATCATTTGCAATTCAGGCAGGACTATTATAACGAACACTAGTCCAAAAGGTCAGTTATCGACGATTGCCATTTCCTCATCCGGCTGTTAGAGTAATGTCTATAGATCAATTTGCCTTCGAGAATTGTACCATATATATGCAACCACATAATCGCCATTATCACCTTCTTCGAAGCAAAACATATTTTCGAAAATTTTGCCTCTATGCAAGTAATTCACATTCCCCATTCCATCTCTAGAACTTTTCGGACGCTTTCTGTTACAGTTAGCTTAACACAATTTGCTGGTTATCCTATTTAATCTTGAATTACTAGCTAGATGAAGACGACTTTTTTTACGATAAACGACTTCCTCTAACTCCCCCCATGTTTAATTCTAAGTCAACAGTAGGCAAACCTGTATCAGACTTTTCAACATTGTAACAGGTGAGCGAAGGCTTGAACAATTTCACGAGTATAAAGTGGGTACATATTTGAGAATGATATTATTATAGGACGCCTAGTAATTTAAATGATCATTCAGCAGGCTAATCAGGAACGAGTTTCTCAAATAGACTTCATGGTGGTGTCGCGTGAGAGGCTCTAGATGACAATAAAACTGAGAAATTTAACCTATTTAGTCTCTTTAGGGCAGGAGTGATGCATAGTCATTCCAAGAATAATTAATTCAGGTAGTACAGAGAGGGGGCAGCGATTCGGTAATTAGTGATTGTGAGGGCGAGAGGCGGGGCGGGGCGGGGCGGGGGGGGGGGGGGGGGGGGGGGGGGGGGGTAGAACACACAACATAAGTCCGGTGAAACAAAGGAAATCGACAAATGTTGAGTCATCTGCACAACAATTCGAAAATGGCATTTAACATGATGAAGATCTTCAGGAAACTATCAATAAAAAAAGATAAAGTGGATATGAAATAATACCTATACTTTCTACAAACATAAATGTTGGAACTAACCGTTACCAAGACCGAACAAGTCCTTGTTACAGTGATCTTAAGTAGTGATGAACGCTATTCACACGAGGGGTTTGATTTTCTTGTTACTTTTGAGATATAACTTGACAAATATCAGCAGTTATTAGAGACTTCCAAACCAATAGGCTATCTCAAGAATAAAGCATTTTCAAATATAATCAATATTCGGAGTAACTGGTAATTGGAATAGGAAAGTATTCAGTCAGTCGTAGGAGAACCAAATTTACCGAAATGAGTTGCCACCTCCATTACATTCCACGTTGGCAAGTTTTTTTTTCCCAAAAAAGACACCATAACACCCACATTCACTATTATGTCTTAACAGTCTATTACACACAGTTCACCACGTTTGGGCTTATTAAAAATAGTAAACGAGTGTTACTATTATTAGTCTATACAAAATTCTAATATTAACCGCTAAAATCTATTTGTGTATATAGTCCAATATTCTTCCTTGACATACTCATTTGAGGCTAATGCCCTTGATGGCACATATTTGACTATATGTTCACCCATTTCATCTCATAATCAGTGAGGCGGGGCTAATGACATTAAGGACAGAATCGTTATTGGGTGGATGTTTAGTCTAGACACGGGCTTCTTTAGCTACCTGATAGATTTGTCTTGTTGTCAAGGCATAGTCCTACATTGTGTTACGCTTATCTTTGACACTTAGTGAATCAATGGTAATTTGGGCGTAAAAGAACTATGCTGACTCTTCGTCGCAGCCTAAAAGAACAAGGTACTTTGTTAAAACTTGCTCACCTGTCAGAATGTCATTAGTAAGATCGAAGTCTTCTTCAATACGAATCTCTTCAAAAAAATCTTTGTAACAGCAGTAAAATAGCGAAACACATTCCTCTGAGGCGGGTAGAGAGGTAAATTCATATTTCGGTCTTTATCAGCTTAACGATCATAAACATGACCATTTATTCTTACAAATGAACCCGATATGAAGGTCATAATATTTTTTACCTGGGGTGTGCGATAGACCTACCTCCACGTGATGCATCCTGGGCAACGTATATTCATACGGCAAAAAAGTCTATTAACCGGCAGTTGACTTCTCACTTCAAACTACCATGACCCCACTGCATGTCATATTCGATTCCTTCACAGTACTCACCTTACCTTTTCTCCGCCTTTGTGTCTGTCTGTCCCTTTTAAATCCATGAATCATTATTCTGTCCGCCTCTCGACTTTTTGTGAAGCCCGAGATCAGCTAAAGGGCTAATGATAACTATCAAAACACCTACATTTAATATAAATAAATATTTTTACCTTGCAGCTAGTTTTCTCTA